TAGTTAGTGTCGAGCCACTCGTTGTTTCCGCGGCAGTGCTAGTCTCGGCTGCAGAGCTAGGTAGCGTCCAACCCGTTGTTTCCGCGGCAGTGCTAGTCTCGGCTGCAGAGCTAGTTAGTGTCGAACCACTCGTTGTTTCCGCGGCGGTGCTAGTCTCGGCTGCAGAGCTAGTTAGTGTCGAACCACTCGTTGTTTCTGCGGCAGTGCTAGTCTCGGCTGCAGAGCTAGTTAGCGTCGAACCACTCGTTGTCTCCACAGCAGTGCTAGTCTCGGCTGCAGAGCTAGTTAGTGTCGAACCACTCGTTGTTTCTTCTGCAGTGCTAGTCTCGCCTGCAGAGCTAGTTAGTGCCGAAAAACTCGTTGTTTCCGCGGCAGTGCTAGTCTCGGCTGCAGAGCTAGTTAGTGTCGAGCCACTCGTTGTTTCCGCGGCAGTGCTAGTCTCGGCTGCAGAGCTAGGTAGCGTCCAACCCGTTGTTTCCGCGGCAGTGCTAGTCTCGGCTGCAGAGCTAGTTAGTGTCGAACCACTCGTTGTTTCCGCGGCGGTGCTAGTCTCGGCTGCAGAGCTAGGTAGCGTCCAACCCGTTGTTTCCGCGGCGGTACTAGTCTCGGCTGCAGAGCTAGTTAGCGTCGAACCACTCGTTGTCTCCACAGCAGTGCTAGTCTCGGCTGCAGAGCTAGTTAGTGTCGAACCACTCGTTGTTTCTTCTGCAGTGCTAGTCTCGGCTGCAGAGCTAGTGAGCGTTCCACTCGTTGTTGCTTCTGTTCCAGGTGTAGAAGCTATCGGGGAGCTGCTTGTTCCTTGTTCACTCGTAGTTTCCGCGGCAGTGCTCGTCTCGGCTGCAGAGCTAGTTAGCATAGAACCACTCGTTGTTGCTTCTGTTCCAGATGTAGAAGCTATCGGGGAGCTGCTTGTTTCTTCCTCACTGGTTGTTTTTGCAGCAGTACTAGTCTCGGCTGCAGAACTAGTTAGCGTAGAACCACTCGTTGTTGCTTCAGTTCCAGATGTAGAAGCTATCGGGGAGCTGCTTGTTTCTTCCTCACTGGTTGTTTTTGCAGCAGTACTAGTCTCGGCTGCAGAACTAGTTAGCGTAGAACCACTCGTTGTTGCTTCAGTTCCAGGTGTAGAAGCTATCGGGGAGCTGCTTGTTCCTTGTTCACTCGTAGTTTCCGCGGCAGTGCTCGTCTCGGCTGCAGAGCTAGTTAGCATAGAACCACTCGTTGTTGCTTCTGTTCCAGATGTAGAAGCTATCGGGGAGCTGCTTGTTTCTTCCTCACTGGTTGTTTTTGCAGCAGTACTAGTCTCGGCTGCAGAACTAGTTAGCGTAGAACCACTCGTTGTTGCTTCAGTTCCAGATGTAGAAGCTATCGGGGAGCTGCTTGTTTCTTCCTCACTGGTTGTTTTTGCGGCAGTGCTAGTCTCGCCTGCAGAGCTAGTTAGTGCCGAAAAACTCGTTGTTTCCGCGGCAGTGCTAGTCTCGGCTGCAGAGCTAGTTAGCGTCGAACCCGTTGTTTCCGCGGCAGTGCTAGTCTCGGCTGCAGAGCTAGTTAGTGTCGAACCACTCGTTGTTTCCGCGGCGGTGCTAGTCTCGGCTGCAGAGCTAGTTAGCATCGAACCTCTCGTCGTTGCCTCTGTTCCGGATGTAGATGCTAACGTGGAGCTGCTTGTTTCTTCCTTACTGGTTGTTTTTGCGGAAGTGCTAGTCTCGGCTGCAGAGCTAGATAGTGTCGAACCACTCGTTGTCTCCACAGCAGTGCTAGTCTCGGCTGCAGAGCTAGTTAGTGTCGAACCACTCGTTGTTTCTGCGGCAGTGCTAGTCTCGGCTGCAGAGCTAGTGAGCGTTCCACTCGTTGTTGCTTCTGTTCCAGGTGTAGAAGCTATCGGGGAGCTGCTTGTTCCTTGTTCACTCGTAGTTTCCGCGGCAGTGCTCGTCTCGGCTGCAGAGCTAGTTAGCATAGAACCACTCGTTGTTGCTTCTGTTCCAGATGTAGAAGCTATCGGGGAGCTGCTTGTTTCTTCCTCACTGGTTGTTTTTGCAGCAGTACTAGTCTCGGCTGCAGAACTAGTTAGCGTAGAACCACTCGTTGTTGCTTCTGTTCCAGATGTAGAAGCCATCGGGGAGCTGCTTGTTCCTTGTTCACTCGTAGTTTCCGCGGCAGTGCTAGTCTCGGCTGGAGAGCTAGTTAGCGTCGAACCACTCGTTGTTTCTGCGGCAGTGCTAGTCTCGGCTGCAGAGCTAGTTAGCGTAGAACCACTCGTTGTTGCTTCTGTTCCAGATGTAGAAGCTATCGGGGAGCTGCTTGTTTCTTCCTCACTGCTTGTTTTTGCGGCAGTGCTAGTCTCGGCTGCAGAGCTAGTTAGCGTCGAACCACTCGTTGTTTCTGCGGCAGTGCTAGTCTCGGCTGCAGAGCTAGTGAGCGTTCCACTCGTTGTTGCTTCTCTTCCAGATGTAGAAGCTATCGGGGAGCTGCTTGTTTCTTCCTTACTGGTTGTTTTTGCGGCAGTGCTAGTCTCGGCTGCAGAGCTAGATAGTGTCGAACCACTCGTTGTCTCCACAGCAGTGCTAGTCTCGGCTGCAGAGCTAGTTAGTGTCGAACCACTCGTTGTTTCTGCGGCAGTGCTAGTCTCGGCTGCAGAGCTAGTGAGCGTTCCACTCGTTGTTGCTTCTCTTCCAGATGTAGAAGCTATCGGGGAGCTGCTTGTTTCTTCCTTACTGGTTGTTTTTGCGGCAGTGCTAGTCTCGGCTGCAGAGCTAGATAGTGTCGAACCACTCGTTGTCTCCACAGCCGTGCTAGTCTCGGCTGCAGAGCTAGTTAGTGTCGAACCACTCGTTGTTTCTGCGGCAGTGCTAGTCTCGGCTGCAGAGCTAGTGAGCGTTCCACTCGTTGTTGCTTCTGTTCCAGGTGTAGAAGCTATCGGGGAGCTGCTTGTTCCTTGTTCACTCGTAGTTTCCGCGGCAGTGCTCGTCTCGGCTGCAGAGCTAGTTAGCATAGAACCACTCGTTGTTGCTTCTGTTCCAGATGTAGAAGCTATCGGGGAGCTGCTTGTTTCTTCCTCACTGGTTGTTTTTGCAGCAGTACTAGTCTCGGCTGCAGAACTAGTTAGCGTAGAACCACTCGTTGTTGCTTCTGTTCCAGATGTAGAAGCTATCGGGGAGCTGCTTGTTTCTTCCTCACTGGTTGTTTTTGCGGCAGTGCTAGTCTCGCCTGCAGAGCTAGTTAGTGCCGAAAAACTCGTTGTTTTTGCGGCAGTGCTAGTCTCGGCTGCAGAGCTAGTTAGTGTCGAACCACTCGTTGTTTCCGCGGCGGTGCTAGTCTCGGCTGCAGAGCTAGTTAGCATCGAACCTCTCGTCGTTGCCTCTGTTCCGGATGTAGATGCTATCGTGGAGCTGCTTGTTTCTTCCTCACTGGTTGTTTTTGCGGCAGTGCTAGTCTCGGCTGCAGAGCTAGTTAGCGTCGAACCACTCGTTGTTTCTGCGGCAGTGCTAGTCTCGGCTGCAGAGCTAGTGAGCGTTCCACTCGTTGTTGCTTCTCTTCCAGATGTAGAAGCTATCGGGGAGCTGCTTGTTTCTTCCTTACTGGTTGTTTTTGCGGCAGTGCTAGTCTCGGCTGCAGAGCTAGATAGTGTCGAACCACTCGTTGTCTCCACAGCAGTGCTAGTCTCGGCTGCAGAGGTAGTTAGTGTCGAACCACTCGTTGTTTCTGCGGCAGTGCTAGTCTCGGCTGCAGAGCTAGTGAGCGTAGAACCACTCGTTGTTGCTTCTGTTCCAGATGTAGAAGCTATCGGGGAGCTGCTTGTTCCTTGTTCACTCGTAGTTTCCGCGGCAGTGCTAGTCTCGGCTGGAGAGCTAGTTAGCGTCGAACCACTCGTTGTTGCTTCTGTTCCAGATGTAGAAGCTATCGGGGAGCTGCTTGTTCCTTGTTCACTCGTAGTTTCCGCGGCAGTGCTAGTCTCGGCTGGAGAGCTAGTTAGCGTCGAACCACTCGTTGTTTCTGCGGCAGTGCTAGTCTCGGCTGCAGAGCTAGTTAGCGTAGAACCACTCGTTGTTGCTTCTGTTCCAGATGTAGAAGCTATCGGGGAGCTGCTTGTTTCTTCCTCACTGCTTGTTTTTGCGGCAGTGCTAGTCTCGGCTGCAGAGCTAGTTAGCGTCGAACCCGTTGTTTCCGCGGCAGTGCTAGTCTCGGCTGCAGAGCTAGTTAGTGTCGAACCACTCGTTGTTTCCGCGGCGGTGCTAGTCTCGGCTGCAGAGCTAGTTAGCATCGAACCTCTCGTCGTTGCCTCTGTTCCGGATGTAGATGCTATCGTGGAGCTGCTTGTTTCTTGCTCACTCGTTGTTTCCGCGGCAGTGCTTGTCTCTGCTGCAGAGCTAGTGAGCGTTAAACCCCTTGTTGGAGTAGTGGTTGTAGTATCGGAAGGTCTGGAGGTCGTTAAACTTGCTGTGGTGGTTGTGGGGAATGTTGTTGAGGTTTTGGTGCTCGTTGTCTTGAATTTTGTAGCGGTTGTGATTTTTCTTCTTCTGCATCTGATCTTTTCGATAAGCACACCATTCCTTGCATACCACTTGCCTTTTTTGCATCTTAGCATTCCACTTGCTGTGGCTGTCTTCATATTGAGCGTATGCCATTTTGCCCGAGAATAATAATCTATAAGGACATTATATCCTTCCGCAGTGCATACCACGGTGGCCGTATAGCATTCTCCACCAGAGTATCTAAGAATTTGATTTATTTCCATATGTGGCTTTCTATAAAATCTTTCATCCTACCTAATATTAGGTTGCACGCATGATGTGCTTCCTCTTCGGTTTCTACAGTTTATTGTAGATATTTCTGCACAACCTTTGCGATCTATAATTCTGTTAATAAGAGGGTAGGTGACAATTCACTGAACTACGTTTCCACGGACTCCCATCAGGCCACATTAACAATTTCTTTTGGTTTTGTAGAATGTGAAAATCAGCCAGACATTCTTACATGAACGAAAAAAAGACATTGAAGTTGAGCTATAGCCACGGAACATCGCCATGCTTACCATTGTTGGCGCCACCTACGATGCCGGGTATACCACGTGGATACCATGGCTCGAGTTCAGCATCACTAATAGGTATGCGTTCTACATTGTTTTTGATCTGAAAAGGTAGATGCTTGTTTTATAATTTTGAAGCATAAATAAATTGAAAGCTCTATCTTGGGTATCTTGGTAGAAACCATTTTTTGCTCAGTATCAGATTTTTATCCTTTGGATCTATGCCCACTATTCCTGTCATACTGCAACAATTACTTACCTTTTCAGCATTCTCCTTCCTCTCCTGTTCTTGGCATTTTCTTATCGTGCAGCAAGGATTATTTCTCGGCGTGCAACAAGGATTATTTTTCTTCTTGCAACAAGGGTTATTTCTCAGCTTGCAACAAGGATTTTGTGGGCATCTGGCATATACCATAACTGCCAGTAAGAGATAAAACACAAACTTTTCCATTTTGGAAGGTGCAGCTGCGAGCGATGCGAGCGCAACGATACGTGGACATTTATACCCTATACAGGTCTAATGTTTGTTAATGTTCCCCATGTGCTACATCATCCGTATGGAATGCGATTATTAAACTGCAATTAATTAAGAACATACCTTATTATTGGGATGATGACATTGTGAGAAGCAAGATTTCCGGAAGCAGTGTGGAGATGGCAATTGTTATGAAAAGAGTCATACTTTGACGATTTCGTATCAATTCTGGAGGGTTCGGTGATCGCGAAGCAGGCTGGATATCGTCTTGGAGTGAAAAACAAAGGAAATATCGTTTAGGGGCCCACGAGCCACGAAATTATGTAACTTAGTTTGTGTATATAAAAGAATCGCCTATCTCATCGTGCAAATCGCAGTTCCAGAATTGAGAAAATTATTTCAAAAACCTTCTGATACGCATAGCAACCTAAAACTGAATTTTTAAAAAAATTAAACGATTAAAAAACTTCGACAAGTTGGCCAGTTTCCGCCCGCTAACTCAGCAATTTTGGAGGGCTCCTCTCATAAAAACGAAGCATATCGCAGAGATTATTACATGAGTCATACAAATATACTCCCAATTATCATCATATACTCACAACTTTCATCCCTCCCCCCTCCTCCACAATACTCTCCCCTTCTTTTATATCATTTCTTCATCTTCTAGAGACGTCGCAGGTGCTTAGCGCTGCCCTACCTGTTCAATTCGCCACGAAACCACCAATTTCCTGCTCCAATATGCTCGCCACGCAAGCGCGGGCAAAAATGTCTCCTATATAAAAGGCTTGTTTACAGCGAAGAAGAAATGATATGACCAGGGTCAAGCGTGGGGTGTGACATGCAACACCTGGGGGGTCTTAGTGAGGAATCAGGGAGGGGGGTGTCGCTATCAAGGCGTTCGCTGTTCTCATAACATGATATTCGTTAACAATGTCAAATAGACCCGGCATGCAAAATATTAGCACGCTGATGTTTGACCCATTATCGTATAGTAAAGTAAGCATAATTGAAGATCTATAATGCATAAGAGCATCGTTTTGTAATTTGCGAGTAAAATAACCTCTGTGGTCCAAGTTTCAGCGAATTCTGAGGTTTCCAAATACAGAACCACCTAAGTGAGATGGTCGTTTTCAAACATGTTACTTTGTTTCAAAGACAAATTAACTACTTCTTTTTGCGCTTAATACAAAGAGCTACTATTTCTTTGCTTACATTAGGAATCCTGCCTCAAATGACCTCCAAGTTGAGGAATTAAGAGCAAGCCAAAATCTCGTTTGTTCCATTTTTCGTTTTCAATATCTCAGGCTAGAGAAGACCAAACAGGCTCAAATCACTTCAATGTAGATTACGAGGCTTATGCTATCAAGTATATACATTCTTGTCGCCTTCCCTTGCGATTCACGTAGTAGAGCAGACTTGGCATTTTACCGTATGCTAATATTTTCGCAATATTTTGCCAGTATTTTACATTTGCAAAGGAAGAACAATTATATCTTGCTCGTGAAGAAACGTTTTTGTATGAAATTTCTGCTATGTAAAGAAGAAGGTTAAGCAGTAATAATGATATAAAAAACGCAGCTATTTGATCTGTTTAAAGGTAAGTTAATAAGGTGTGGCACCACGGGTGGGGAACTATATGTCGCCGATAGGCTCTACCCCGCGCGGACAGCCGATACAAATCCATTATGTCTGTGGCGATAATGGGGTGGTGCCACACCCCATTAACTATGTTGAAAAAAACATTTTTAGCGAACGTTATTTAAATGAGTCGATAACCTAGACCTCATAGATTTCATAGCAGCCACAGCTTTTTAGGGGTGGTGACACCCCATTAACTATATTGAAAAAAAAACATTTCTAGCAAACGTTATTTACATGAGCCAATAGCCTAAACCTCATAGATTTCATAGGAGTGATTTGAGCCTGATTCGTCTTCTTACTCTGAGTAATATTTGGTGAAAGTAGCCATTAAAAGCGAAAAATAGGAAAAACAAGATCTTGATTGGCTTCTAATTACAAAGTTAGGAGGTTTTTTGAAGCGAGATTTCTGAAGTGACCAAAGAAGGAGTACTGCTTTGTCTTGAGTGCAATGCTGGAAAATGGCGATTTCACTTAGGTGACCCAGTATCTTGAAACTTCAGAATTCGCTCAAACATTGTCTACAGGGGTTAATTGACATGCTAATTATGTTGCCCGTTACGTTTGACAGGGCCTTCAACTAATGCTATCTTAGGTAACCTTTGATTCAACTGACTTGGCACCATCAGGGCGGGGTTTTGTGATCTAATTGAGGTCGCTCGCGCCCGCGACGCACCCGTCTCTCTCGCGCGAGTGGTCTCTGACCATTACCTAGCCTTAATTAGGTCAGGAAGCTCCGCCTTTGCCGATGCCAAGCCAGTTGAATCAAATGGTACATAGTTCAGGGGTCTTATTGAGACAGCAGTAAGAGGGGGAGGGATCGTAATCAGCGATCGTGTGCCACACCTCTTGCTTGACCCAGGATATGACACCAAAAACGGTGTGCAGATGCGCGATAGGGAGTTGGAACTATGTATGAAAAAATCCAAGACTACAACGTGAGGGGTCTTGCATGCGGACCTGCAATCGATAAGGCCACTTCGAAAGCCAAAGCCATACGCGGCGAGGCTCTGGCCTGGCGATCGCTTACGGAAAAAGGGAACAGGTGCTTAATACCGACTGTACGTTGCGCAAGTAACTTGTTCAATTCTAAACTGAGCCGATTCTTAAAACTTTTTAGACATTCAATTTGGTGTTTGCAAAGGCAAATTTGGGGCTGGCTGCCGCCACGTCTCCTTTTATCGATTCGGGGTCATCGGCGTCTGGAAAGATTGGGTAGAGAAGTATACGTCAATATCGCTGATAGGCTCCACGCGCGGACAGCTGGTACAAATCTATAATCTCTGTAGGAGATGCATACTTCGCAGATGTCCGCACGAGACCACCTCGTCCTCGTCCTCCACTCCCAAAGATTTCGGAAAGCATCAATCCGAAGAGAAGGCTAAGCCACATCCCTTCATTCAAAAGTTTTCCTTAGCCGGTTGGAAAACACTGCAACAAAAGCTTCCCTCTGGCCAAATAATGCCGGTCAGCGTGTAGACGGAGCGCTACTGCCTGGGCCAATAATCGCGATTTCAGAAGAATTTGCATGAATTAAGTTACCCTGTCCTCTTTGCTTCTCTTCGCACCTCACTCGCGAACGGTCGGCTAACTCTTAGCTCTGACCCGTACCATTGAACAGGATTGGAATAGGAAGACCTGGTATAAGAAACCATGGCTGGTCCACTAAATCTTCTTTGAGGGAGAAGTCGGAGAGCAGGATCCGTCACGAACAGATGCGCCGACTGGCAAGAAGAACAATGAATCCCTTTCAGTAAAGTTGAAAAGCTGAGCCATAAGCAGGATCACCGCGGTGTTCATTGTTCTAACCGCTGAGAATAAATAAGTGTAGATATAAATGCAATCCTCTTTGCTCTAAGCTTAGAAATACGTGAAACCTGCACATGTGTCTCGCAAAGCGATTACTTTCTCGCGCACTGCTCTCACTCAGCGCCCCATGGTGAAGGGTCCTGCGGGGTCTTTTGGCATGTTCACTTTTAGAGCAATCAAGGTACGACAATACCTTCGATAGTCTAGAGAGGGAGTCAAAAGTGAAGGTTGTTTAAGTATCTGCCCTCATAAAAAAGTGAAAGTTTTTTACTGCAAAACAAAGCAGAGAATAAGATGCAAAACAATTCAAAAAACAATAAGTTAATTTCTTCTTTGTGATTATTTTGAAAACAAACATATTTTGAAGTGGTGTTCATCAAGAGGAAAATAAACAAAAGCATTGGTATGAAAACGTATAGTTTTGTTTTTTCCTAAATCGAACTGCACGTCAAAGACAACTTAATTTTTGATGCTTTCTTTGAATTTTTAGCCCCTTCTCGTAGTTTCTGTTTCTGGCGACGCTGTCAGCTTTGCTGCGCTCATAATCCCGAGCGAAATGCCCCCAAGCTTGTAAGAAATGGTTGCTTACTAACTCCAAGAAAGGCCTATGAACAAAAACGCACTTTTTGCGGCTTTGTGCTAGATGATTCACCATAATCGAAGAAGTTAGCCCCGCGACGTTGTCTACATTATGAACGGAAGCAAAACCTATGAGTTGCACAAAATGCTTTTGAAAGAAATGGAAGAAAAACAAGAGACTTTCAAAAACATAATTTTCAAAAGATTTCTCGTTCAATTCAGAAAATGGAGTCCTGCAACGTTGTCATCGTGAAAGCAGAGATCAAGAGCTTCAATATGATATACAATTTGTTATGAGTAAAGTGAAAACAACGAAAAGGGTACCAAAGCCAAGTGCCCCGCGCTTGGGGTAGCGAGGTAGCGTGCAACGCGCGGAGACGCAGACGAGCGAAGGAGACAAACCAGAGCCGACAGGGGGGGGGGGGCATTTGGCCCTGGTCGTACATGTCAGCGGTGTGTTAACGAAACCCTGTAACAAAATACATCCCTGTGATCCTCATGACACGATCAGGAGCATTGATAACGTGGCGGATGTTGAAAATCACTCCATAACGAGGTGAACCAGCATTCATGTGGCGACTCACTGCGCAAGATTTGAGCGCAGTCTCTCGTTTTTATTGAGCTCAACAGCTTTCGTGAACTTCTAACACTCAATCGTAGTCTATAAAACGGTCAACTGCGAATTATCGTCCTGAATTCTAGGGAGGTTTTCGGATAAGGACCTTCTTTTCAGCAGAAAAGGCTACAAAAGCGCGATCTTCTCGTTTTCTGAGCTTTTTTTTTTCAAACGTCACTCACTACACTTGCCTCATTCACATTCACTCCTATAACATTCATAGTATCCGGGGCTTCGCCTCGGATGCCTTTTTTTCTCTAGGTGAAGGTTATGTTCTATCATGACCGTCAAAGCGAAGGTTACCAGAGTACATGGCTCCATGTATCGAAGGTATGGGTACGGCTGTACACCTGAAAAAAAAGGAATAAATTTGCAGAGGGACT